GACAGTACCCATTAAAATGCATTTTTTAAAAAACTTCATGCACTGTGTTGCGCAGCAATTGTGCGGCTGGAACGGAATCTGGGTGGGGGTTGGGAGGAGGGCGCATGTCCATGTACTCCCCTAGCCCCGCGGATTCCAGAGCATGCGCTCTCTAGCAGGGCCCACCTCCCCGCAGGCGCCCTATAATTGGGGCGGCCCGACCCACCTGGGGCGTAGGGCAAGCAGGCCGCCCGCGGGAGGGGGCGTGAGCGGGGCGGGGCCGGAACGTCTTTCTCCCGCTCCGGGGCCGGGGCGGGCACAGTTACCCGCCGCACCGACCATGGCCGCAGCCGCGCTGGGGCAGGTGGGTTCGCGGCCCCCGGCGGGGGAAACGGGAGGAGGGGTGGGGAGGCGGAGGAGGCCCACTTCCGGGTGGGCCACTAGCTCCGGGCCCCGTCCGGCTCCGCGCCCCCGGCGCTCGGGTTCCGCTGCGGGGCGCCGAGAAGGAGGGGGCCCCTTGGAGAGGAGCTCGAGGCTTTAAGGGCGAGGGAGGTGGAGGGAGGTGGTTGGTGGGACGGGGCCGACAGCGGGAGGTACGAGGGAAACATGGAGGAGGGTACAGTTCATGGGACAGGCACAGGGCTGCGTCGGGGGGGGGGCGCCGTTAAGGAAGGGATAACAGCCAGCCTGTGGGGGCGCCGGGATAAGACACCCCGAACTTCTAGGGGTGCGGGTAGGACGAAGGCACAGATCTCAGGTCTGGACTGGGAATTGGACCCAAGGCCCCGTTTTCTTGGAACTAAAAGTTAAGATGTATGTGGACTGTCCCTGCAAGCCCTTCTCCGAAGCTGCGCATCAGGGTGGGAAAGGGAGCCAGCTTCCGACTGTCACAGAGACAGATCCTCCCGGTCCATTCTTACCCAGAAGCGGACGACCAGCAGAGTTTTGGAGAGCGGGATTTTACAGCACAGAGTTTCTCAGCGAGGAAAGAAACGCTAACAGCTCACAGAAGGGATCTTTACAGCCGCGCACAGAGGCAGCATCACCCTGGGAGAAGTGTTGTTCCCGTCCAGTTCTGCCCCTGACCCCGTCTGGGACTCCTACCCCAGCCTGCTGGAGAGCAGGGCACACTGTTACTGTTCCGAGTCTGGGGTGACTGACGCTGGGCTATGACTGGGACCATCCAGGCTCTGATGGTGCCACTTCTGGGCTGTGGTGGGAGAGTCCCGGGCAGTGGCAGGGACAGTTTGGGGTTGTGATGGTGGAGAGTCTCGAGCTGCCATCGAGCAGTCTTGGTCTGCCATGGGAGAGTCCTGGGCTATCATGGGACAGTCCTACATGTGATGGGATCAGTCCTGGGCCACAACGAGGACAATTTGGGGCTTTGACTGGGACCCTTTGGGCCGGTGATAGGGACAGTCCCTGGCTGAGACAAAGGACAGCACTGCATTACAAGGGGGACCCTTCCTGGGCTGTGATGGGGGGGGCAGTCCTGAAGCATGAAGGACAGTGCTGAACTATGACAAAGACAGTCCTGGGCTTTGATGGTGACGTCCCGGGGCTGTGCTGAGAGAATGGTCCTGGATTGTGCTGGGGACAGTCCTAGGCTGTAATGAGACGCGGGGGAGGCTCCATCGCATTGCAGAGCCCTGCTCTGTGCCCCTCCCCCCCAACTCTTCCTTGTTTCTTAATTCAGCCCCAATCTTTTCACACTCCTTGCCCAGTAACCCGTCTACCATTCCTTGGTCCCAATCCCCATGGCTTGGGATGCCAGATAGCGGAGCACTTTCCCTGAGCTGAGGGGAGACCCCGCCACCCCCGCTCCTACAGCAATGTCCTTGAGGAATGAAAGCAGCTTCTCTCAGGGCAAGAGGGTCTTGATGGCCAGTGCTGATGTACAACCTGGACACTGCCCGGCTCCTTCTCTCTGCCCCATGCGTGTGTTTTTCTGCCTCTCCCTTCTCTCTCTCCTGGATGTACTCTGTCTCTAAGCATCTCTGAGAAGTTTGTCTCCAGGTGTTGGCATCGCTGTCTTTCTGTCTTTCCTCGTTTCTCTGGGTCTCGTTTCACTTTGTGCTGTCACCTGAAATCTGGTCATTGTTTACTTTTTCCTCCTTCAGACTCTCCGTATCGCACCCTTGGCATTTTTCTAGATTTCTCCAGACTTCACTTCGCCTGAGTTTGCCTCCCTATCTGTCTCTCATATCAGTCTCTTTATGATCATATCTATTTTGGCATCTTATGGTCTTGATTTCTGTTCTCAGTTTGGTTTCCATTTCTGTTTTTTTTAAGATTTTATTTTTAAGTAATCTCTCCACCCAACGCAGAGCTCGAACTCAGGACCCCGAGATCAAGAGTCGCCTGCTCTTCCGACTGAGCCAGCCAGGCGCCCCCTCGGTTTTGTTTTCTATGTCTCTTTGTTTTCTCATTCTTGCTTTTCCCTCTCTTTTGTTTTTTCTCCCATTCTGGCTCCTCCTGAGCTCTGCTCTCCTGCCCAGATACTGGCTGTCTCTGCCCTGGGTGTCTTATCTTTTCTCCAGGCTGTGGGTGTCCTGTTCCCTCCTGGACAGAAGCATAGCCACAAGACTTGGGTGGGCTACACAGCGCCACCTAGAGGCCATGCCGTGGACCCACATTCTGATCCGCCCAGAAGCCCTTGGGCCCCACACTATCCGAAACCACTCCTCAGACTTCACGCTCTGCAGCCCCATCTCCCCATGACTCACCTACTGACCAGTGACTGCTGCCACTCATGTTCGTTCTCACTGGTTGGTGTCCGCTCACCCAGCTCACAGGGCAGGAGCAGGCTAGGCTGTTCCGTCTGCACCAACCTCATGACCCAGCTGCTTTCCTGCCAGGCTGGGAAAGAGGCATTATGAGGTCAAAGAATACTGGGGAGAGGCCACCCTGATGGACACAGACCGATTTGCTCTCCTTCGTTTGTCTCAGGCAGGCCACAGATGTTTATCTGAGCAGGGTCTCTGTTGATGACTAGGATCACCCCCCAGGTCCATGTGGCTGCCTCTCAGCCCTGGGATCTGAAGGGAATTGGAATCACTGGTGTCTAAGGTATGGGTTGGGAGCTCAAGTAATCTGAGCCCAGTTGGTCTGATATCCTAAAAGAATAAGGACTTGGACTCCTGGATATGAGAGAGAATGGGCTGGGGGCCTGGACTCGGGGGTTTGAGGGAGGGGGTGCTGGGGGCCTGGATTCCTGGATCTGAGGGAGGAGTGAGCGGGGGGGGCGGGGGAGTTTAGACTCCTGGGTCTGGAGGAGGAGGAGGCCAGAGGTCTGGACTCCAGGGTCTGAGGTGGGAGGGGGCGGGGGGCCTGGACTCCTGGGTCTGAGGGGGGAGGGGGCTGGGGTCCTGGACTCCAGGGTCTGAGGGGAGAGGGGGCAGGGGCCTGGACTCCTGGGTCTGAGGGGGAGGGGGCTGGGGTCCTGGACTCCTGGGTCTGAGGGAGGGAGGGGCTGGGG